GGATATAGTTGGCATTTGGGACTCTGGACTTTCTTGGGACAGCTGAAGTGGCTGAACTGAAAAGCTTATTGCTTTGTCTTTTAGTGAATAAGTTTTTAAGGAGGTTGTGTGCTCCTTGGTGGCTGAAGCTGAAGTTGGGTAGCTTTCTATACCCTTGAATATTTTATTATTATTTATTGGCAAAGCAATAAGTCATTCAGTTTAGCAACTTCAGTCATTCTCATATATCCCCTTTGTATGGTATGCGTTGTTCTTTTTTTGATGAATATGGTATGCGTTGTTCTTTCTGCCCCTGAAAGGCCAATTCTGGTGCTATTTGCCCCCAATTAATCATATATGTTATTGTCTGGTGAAATGGAGGTAGATTTTGGGGAGATCTTGATAGGGAGAAGTTTTATGGTCTGACCAGTATTGTCAGACCTGGACCAGATTGGACAGTTGAACCAGTGAGAAATTGAGCCTTCTGATTCCTGAATTTGGGTGGTTTTGAGTCTTTTGACAGGCTGACAATTACAATATTGGTCAACCTGATTTTGTGAGCTTTCTGGTCTTTGTGTCTGCTTCGTTAACAACACCGTATCTGGGAGATGCCCTGAACTGTTTTTTGGGTAGAGAGATGCCTTTGACTTTATTTTATTTTCCAACTATAAATGGAATTCTGGTTTTGTGCCCTAATTGAACCCAAATCTAATTTCAATCATGGTAGTCTATGGGGTTTAACCTTGATGGGATAAAGATGGAATTTATGCTGATTTGATGCTAAGTTATTGTTTCCCGATCTTCCCCATCCAATGCAAAGATTGCTTCCTTGATGAAACTAATTTTGAAGTACGCATGCTTTGCAATTTTGGTTTTTATGGAATGGAGGGGTTTTTATTCGTTAGAAGCAATTAAAGGGAGATACTGGTTTGCTATTTTGGACTGGTTGGCATCAGCATACATTATAATTGAGGTTCTGGTTTTTAGAGCCCCTCACTGTCTGGTCGGTATTAGCAAAGTTTATCTCTTCTTCAAGGGCTATGAAAAGTCGGTGCCAAATTATAATGTGTATCCCAAGTGGCGGTGCTTAGTTTTTATAGAGGGGTTTAGTTATTGATTGAAAATCTTGCTGTGTTCTTTAACCTCTTCGAGAACCAATTTGGATTTTTTGCAAGTTTATATTGTTAATATCTTCTTTTATGGAAATATTAGACTGCAGTTGTTTCAATGTCATAGGGGTGAGGATGAGACCTACACAAATGGAAATATTAGGCTGCAGTTCTTTCTTTTTCCAATAAATAATCTTCTTTATCCTTCAAAAAATTGTATTCATCTTATTAAACGAACACCTCTTTATATATAAACTATTTTTCTTTATTCTATATTGTTTCTATTATGATGAATCAAGAACTGGGACTGCCAATGTAATTGCTATCAATTTTCTTCATTTTACTCTCCCAATTATTCAGTATTATTCTCCCGTGCTTAGCACGGGCGCCCCTCGCTAATTATTTAGAAAAGAGTTGAGAAGTTGGGATTTGGGAAGTAATTGAAAAGGTAATGCGCATTAAATAGGGAATTGTAGGCGAACTTTTCCTGAAAGAATCTCAAAAAGAAAGATGTAGCAAATATACAAATTTGTAAAGAAAAGAAATATAGAGGATTGAGAACAGAAAAGGTTTCTAATAGATTTATCTTCTCTAAATTTTACTATTAAACCCAAAATGTTTGGCTACAGACAATCAACAACAAAAGCAAGACAGTCATGGAGCTATTACATCACTTATGCAGAACACAAGCACAGTTTTCCTTCCCTACATCTGCCGCAATACAAGGAGGTTGAGACTTTCCATCCTGGAACCAGGTCAAACGTTTTTGGATTAGTTCGTTCAAGAAATTGTCTAGCTTCTCAATTGTGATGTTGGGCATCACCACAACATGAGCAATGTTCCCCTGACAAGCAAGCTGCCAGCGGCGAACAAACTCCTCATCTTGTGGCCGCTCAAACACAACAGTGCTACTGAGTTCATTAAGCATGGCACCAATCCCTGCAGCTCGGAGGCGGTCCTTCAAGTAATGAGCATTCCTAAGACATTTCTGGACTTCTTTCTGGAACCCTCTGTATCCTTTGCGGTTGAGTGTGTACCAGAGGAAAATTGGAGCATGGCCATTACGGCTACCCATAATGGTGGCATCCCGGGATGCAAGGTACTCGACATTCCTCGAGAGGGTATTAATGTGCTCCAATCTTGTTATCTGAACTCCACAAGGCATTGGGCACCCTACAAACTTGTGTCCAGAAACACTAACACTCCCAATGGGCTTCTTAAACGTGACCTTTGGCGCCTGTTTTCGCCAGGAATGACAAGTGATCAAAATACAATGAGTTATATATGGATGGTAAAGTAAATAAATAATATAATAAAATGAGAAAAGGAGGTTTCTTCTCGGTGACTGGGGAGTTAAAGCTATTACATATTAGTCTTATTCGTAGGATAACATGATTTAATTTGCAATGAAGCAACATCCAAACATGTACAATAAAAATTACACACATGAAAGGGGTTGGGAATTTGTTAATTTTGAATGGGGACTCTTACCCAAGCCTGGTGTAATTGGAAATTCTTCAAATCGGGTCACCCAACTTGCAGCCAAATCCAACATGACACTCTTTTGGATGGTTAGGAAAGGAGTCCCAAGCAACTGTAAAATTGGTGAATCAATATGGCCTAGTATGTTTCCTATGCAAACATGTCATTGGTGGATCCAGAAACCATAATATGTACATGAAGAATGTGGTGTAAGCAGCTCACTCTAACGCAATTATCCTCATTTTAAGCTTGGTATGATACCAAAAACAAAAAAAGTGGACTTACACGTTTGACAAATGGCATCATAAGTCCAAACAAAGCACCATCACAATGGATGTAGAACTGGTCATGTGTAAAGCCAGTATCTTCAAGGGTTTTTATGACCAGGTCAAGATCATCAACAGCTCCTTTAACTGTTGTCCCTGTAGATTTTAGGGATGATAAAAAATTGATTGAGTTTTTAGTTGAGTAGACAAAGAGAAGTCAGAAAAATTATAAAATAAGGCATACCTATATTAACATTGATGATAGCTGGTTTGTCCTTGTTTGGAAGAAGTTTGGCTTTGAAATCATCGCAATCAATCTCACCAGAAGCCATAGTTTCGATCTTAATGCATTCCATTCTGTACATCCGTGCAGCTTTAAAGACTGAATAATGTGACTCTCTTGATGCATATAAAATTCCATCTGGGAAAACTTCTCTCCTGCACAACAACCAAATCATGTTCTACAAAGATCCCAATAGAGAATAAAATACCAGTTATTTATCATATCATAAATAAGTCACCAAACCACATAAGTTGTATATCACTAACCCGACCAAAATACCATGAAGGTTGCCTTCTGTTCCACAGTTTGTAATATATCCCCAATATTCATCCTTCTCTAATTCCCATAGATGGGCAAACCAGTCTAAAACACCAACCTCAAATTGTCTGGAGTGAACCCCATAGTTGCTCTCAATAAAGGGATCACCAAGGTTGTTGATGGAAAAATGTTGCAGCTGAGCCAGAGCACCATAATCAAAGTCTAAGTTATATGGATAACCTGTAAAGAAAATAATACCCAAGTGGCAAACATAAGAATAAACAAGCTAATATGAAATAGATGAAGTTCTTGGAGTTACACAAGACGCAAAGAACTAGAAAATATATTAAGAGAAATATGCAACATATTGAGGGAGAGCAAGAGGAAAATCCTTTTCTAATCCTTCGTTTGCTTTCATTAATTTAGTTTTGTAGAATGTTTTAGTTCTTCTCCCTTGGTATTCTTATTCCAAATATCATCATCACAATGGTAATCTGCTTTATCCTCACATGCATGGGATTGGCACAGCATTAATCTTGTTTTCTTGAACATGAAGAATATAATATCCAAATGCAAGAACGCAAGAAATTTGCTACAGAAACAAATAACATCTCTACAATTACATTTTTAACCTTAATAGACCTTTATACCACTGGAAAGAGCAATAACAAGAAACAATATTAAGAGAACAGAACAGTGTAACATATTTTTTATGTGAGAGAGAGAAAGAGATGTTATGAAGCCTTTGTTTGCTTATTGTAGAATAATTTGATTCTTGTATAGATCTTTCCTCATATCTCACATCTCAAATATCATCTTCCTTATCCGAGATAAGTGGGCCAGCAGCATTGCATTGCTCCTTTTGTTCCAAAAAAAATAATAAAAGAAAGAAAGAAAGAAAAAGCCAGTAAACAATGATGGTCCCAGTTATCTTGGGTCTTGAGAAGGTTAGACTGGGTACAGTCGTAACCTTTGGCATTTTTTCCACACAAAGTGGCTACCCCCAGACTTGAACCCACAATCTCACGCTTGCCAGCCCAAGATTTTACCATTACACCAAGTAATGGCCCCTATCTTTTGTTCCAAATAAAAATAACAAAAGCATGGTATGAATATCTCATGTATTTAATACTGAACAAAACTGAAATACATGTATAAATATTCTATAAGAGAAAATGCTGAAGAACATAAAAAGATCCTAATAGTGCTCAACAAATTTATAGATTGAATCTTATACAGAATTTTGCGGGCCTACCGAACGTCACCTCGGACCGCCACGGGTGAAACTCCCTGCAACTTGACATATGGAAAGGATTTGTCGTCCTAGCAAAGATCGGCCAGCCAACGCTTCGAACTGAGGCGTACCAAGAAGCTGAGAACGATAAAAAGTTAAGGAACAACCTTGATCTGTTGGATGGCGTCTAAGAGCAAGCTCAAATCAGGGTCGCGACCTATCAACAAAGAGTTGTCAGATATTACAACTCTCGAGTCAGAGAGCGTCACTTCAAGGAAGGTGACCTCATCCTCAAGAAGGTTATGGTTCCCGAGCCCGATGTCGGAAAGCTTGGCCCTAACTGGAAAGGGCCCTACAGGATCAAGTAGGTGGTCGGCCCCAGCACCTTTCGGATAGAGTACATGAGTGGAAGACAAGTACCCCGTACCTGGAACTTTGAGAACCTCCGGATGTATTATCATTGATGTAAACATGGCTAGTGAAAATTTTTGTGAATAAAGTGTGCAAGTTCCTCTCACCTCGGCTTGATTCACCCTACTGTAAATGTTCTTGTTTATCCAATCACCAAGACCCCTCGGCTTGATTCACCCTCGGACTGGACGTCGGCCCAAGGCATACGACTCTTTGAGAGTCATATGCCTTAGTCGCCTTTTCAACTAAGGCAAGGACTTTTGGGACTTCGGCCTTTGTTAATGAACGGACCACAAACACTAGCCTCAGCCTCAAAGACCCTCAAAAGAAGTGAGTCTTTGTGAAGGCCAAAGAGCCGGCATCGGCCCATTACTTAACACAAAATACGATGAACACACTAAGCAAATAATACCACCCCATCAAGGCAAAGGCACTCCGCCACCTCGATCGCGTACCATTCGCTGGGCCTCGGCCGTGCGCAAGTTTGATTTCTAAGTCCCTAAGGAAGAACAAGCCATGTGGGCTAAGAAAACCACCTTCCCTCCTTTTTGCTAAGGGAGAGGGTTCCGAGACCTCGGCAACAAGGGTTGGCCTCAGCTTAAGAGACTTAAGGTGAAACGCCTTCGCGAGTGGCTAAATTAAGAGTTACAAGTTTCTTTACAAAATTTGCCCCTTTGGGGGAGGCATCGGCCCCTTGCGTGAGAGAAAAGAAAAATGAGAAAAAGAAAGAAAGGCATATTTTTAACAAGAAACTCAATATGGCAAAAAAAGTTCAATGTATATTTATTCAATTTCCTTTACAAAAAGAGGCCTCTGATGGGGGAGGCCAAGCCCCTTACAAAAAGTATATCAAAAAGAAAAAGAAACAAAAAGTATGTTCAAAAGCCTTTAAAGAAGGGAGCCTCGGCCATAGACAAGCATCCTCACTCGGCCTCAATATTAACATTTTCATCGGCCGCCACCTCCTGCTGCGTGAGCTGTTGAGCGTCATCCTGGCCCTCGGTTGCTTGCTGACTCGAAAGACGAGGACCCAGCTGGTTGACGTCGAAGTTAGGGAAGAACGCCAACACTTGAGCTTTGGTGTCCTCAATCCCCTCCAGATAAGAGGTGGCACCGAACTCGGCCAATTCCTCCCTATGTGTCTCCGAGGCCTTGTACTCCTCCACGGCCTGAGTGGGCGCCTCCTAAAGCTTCTACTCCGCCTCGTCCAACGAAGCCATGGCGACCCTCAACTGGTTCCTCTTGGCGGCCACATCAGCCTCGAGCTTCTTGCGGCGTTCGTATTCCTCACGAGCCGTCTCAGTAGTGGCTTCTCGGCTGGCCCGCTCCTCGGCCAGCTAGCACTTCAACTGCTCAATCTCCTCTTGCAATGTCCGCAACTTCTGTATCATCACCTCCATCTTGTCGCAGAGGCCGACAAACCAACAAGACATCTGCAAAGATACAAGGAACTCACGTCAATTAGAAAAGTCTAAGGTAGAAAGCAGTGTCATAAAGCAAGTAAAGGTCAAGCTTTACCTCAACCAGCTTGTCGAGCAATGTGTCTCAGACAACTTGTGGGGAGACCTGGTTCCACGATTGACGGTCCCCAACAGGAAGCATGTCAGTGATTAACACGCGACTAACGCCTACATTGCTCAAGGTGTCCCCTCACTGACGCTCCAGCTCGGGCGGAACACCCAGCGCGCCGCCAATAGAATATCCTCCCACAGGTCTGAGGAGTAAGGCCCCGACTACCGAGACCCCCCAACAACACCTTCAGCTCGGAAATCCCTCACTGCGACCTTCTTTGTCCTTGTATCCAGGGGGACCTCAACCGGCCACTTTGGCCTGGCCACCTTCCTCTTCTCAGCCTCGGTATTCTCCTTCGGCCAAGGCAGATCCCTCCCTCTGGCTTCCGTGATGTCCCCTCGGCCGAACCCTTCCTCGACTTGGCCACCACAACTTGCAGTAGCCTCTCCTTCAAGCCACCGTCCATCTCTACAAGCAAGAAGAAGAGTTGACATTAGAAGAACAATGATAAATGTTGAACAAATGACAACTAGCCAACAACAGGAGTGACCAATGGGGGCAGGACTGAGACCATCCAACACCAAGGCCTCTTCCTCCACTAAGGGACCGGCATGGATCGTCCCAATCTACCGAAGCCAATTCATCACGGCCGACTCCTCCTTGCTATTGTACAGCTTGATCCTCTCAGCTAGCGAGTCTGGCATTCCCCACTCAGTCCAAAAGGACCAACCTTGTGGACAGCTAATAAAGAACTTCCAGTTGTGGACAGACAACGGGTTGTCCACTACCCTACCCCGTCGACTTTGGAAGTACCACAAACCTTCCCCATCAAGATGCTTCCTCAATGCGAATAAACCCCGGAAGATGTTTAGGGTCACGGTCACATCTCGGAGGCAGGCCATCATCAACACGACCACTATGGTCCTAATGGCATTCGAAGCAAGCTGGCTAAGGGAAAGGTTAAAGTAATTAAGGATGTCTAGAACGAGGGGAGGAAAAGGGAAACGAAGGCCAAAGTAGAGGTAGTGCTCGTGGACACAAGGGCTGCCACGGTCGATCATTGACACAGGGAACTCTAACCCTGTAGTTGTTAGATAGTGTATGCCCTTAGCTCTAATCAGATTGATGTACTGATACATTTATTGTAAATGAATAAAAGTACATAATTGATTCATGCTATATTTGGTGTATTTCTGTGTAATTACCCTTAAACTGGACACTTATGAGACTCGTGTTAGTTTAAAATATTCTCAGCCGTTGGATAGACCTAGGGAGGTTTATCCTGCCAAGACTGACACTAATGTGCTGCCAAGTCGGTTGCAGTGGCCTATCTCAGCTGCTAGGGTGAGACTAGAAGCACATGTAGTGTGTGTTTATTTGAAACACTGAACCAGACCATTTTCCAGTTATGCCCTGGACCTTGGAGACTGGTGGGCAAAATTGGAAAGTTACACCTAACCCTTAGACTCGATTACAGTACTGCACTAGGTGTCGGATTGGACTGTCTTTGATATGCCAATCAGTGAGATCCATAGAGGGGGTCAAAACTTGGGTATGTTAGGGAAGTTTGAGAATTCACTCAAGTGGGTGATCATAGTGACAAAATCAGCCCCTTTGTCAGACAAAGTGAACGGTCAAGGACTGCACTCTCTCTTATGGAAACCAAAACTGCTGGCAATCGATTTCAACCGTGTTTGATATTTGTTTTGCAAAATATATTTATATGAAAATATATATATATATATATATATATATATTATGTTTTATGAAAAAGGTTTGCAAAAGGTTTTAATTCCCAAGATCCATTCGAGCAGAGAGTGCAACACTATACCTTGCAGCCGAGGGAGAGGTCCTCTCTTGTCGGGCAGTGTTTGATCATTAAGGGCTGAGAGGTTAAGTGGAAGACCATTTAGGGCTATTATACCTGATGGGCTAATCTCACTTAAGACCATTGTCCTTGGGCCTTCGTAAGATGGTTGGACTCAATGACCATTTAGTGTAAATGTTGGGCCCATTTAAGAACCCATTCTGATGGACTCAGGGGTTCACTGTGTTTAGCAGTGAATTCGGCCAGGCTTTGTCACAGAAGCTAGGCTAAACCCATATGGCTTTTGTGAGATCAATGTTAGGGTCCCACACCATACAAAGAGAGCCAAGTTAGCCAGCAATTAATAAAGGGGCATGAGCCACTTGCTTAATGGGCCTAAAGCACAAAGATTAATTGGATTAATTAGCATGGGTGAATTTGAGTATGGATATGGGTTTGAATCAGTAGATAAGGATAAGAGGATAAGTCTTATCTACTTAAAGAGTCCAAATCCAAATAAAGATTTGGATTAGGAAACTCCTAATTAGATTAGGAGATTAGCTCTTTAAGATCTATATAAATAGAAGAGGGCGAACTACTCCAAGTTTACAGACTGCTTTTAGTTCTCTCTCTCCTTCTGCTCTTACCGCCCTAACCCTAATTCAACCTCCATTCTTGAACTGATAGAGATCAGTTCTGATTCTGATTTTTGCAAGAAAATATTAGATCTAATTCGTGCTCACCTCCCTTGCTTGATCCAAGCTGTTGGATTGTAGTTCTTGCTAAAAAGACTGCATTGTTGAACCTGCTTCGTCTCAAGCTGCGCCATCTTTAGTGGAAGCAGATTTTGGTACCCTCTTTGGGCATGAACACCTACTTTGGGAGCTACACATGTGGATTCTATATCATGTATTGCTCTCCCTTTCTTTTGGTTTCAAATCTGGTCCGGGTTGGTTCAAGAACAATCCTTGATAAATGCAGTTTTTTCTAAAACTGGGAATATGATTCTCGGAAGGGAGAAGAAATTTTTGAAATTTCACCCAGCCACCCTGCATGGTTTGACCATCCATATAATGGATTTCCCCTTCCTTCAATAGTCCCCAATGATATGGTACATTTTGGATAGAGCTCTCACTTGCTCTTTGTCGAGCTCACTATCGAAGTCAAAACGGGGGTAACGCATCAACGTCATGCCTCGGCGTTCGGCCTCGACCCGCTTCTTGGGTGTAGGTTCCTCAGCCTCCTCCAGCTCCACCACTTAGAGAAGCTTAGGGGCATTCCCCATGCTGTCAGCCCTCGGCCTCATAGAGCTAGTACTTTCATCGAGAGAGTCTACACCCCTTTGGTCTCGCTCAGCTCCCCATGGGGCGGTCCTCTCCCTCAGCACTTGGATGCTAGGCGACCGAGGGGAGCTCTCAGAGTCACTACTATCACTCCCACTACTAGTCGAGGTGGAAGGAGAACTGCTAAGGTCACTCCAATCAGGAAAGGCATAACACTCAAGTCTAGAGTATGAGGCCAACATATTGAAGACGGGAGTCCTTTACCTAGTGTTCATTCAAAGAAGACTTGGGGAACCAGTTGTTGGTAGCCGAGGTCTCTGATCGCAGGTGAAGACTCAAGGTTCGAGCAAATGGTGAAGACTCGCTCTACCAACCTCCCTATTTAAAGGAAAACGTACGGCTCATATCCCTCTAATCCAACGGTCGCGAACTAGCCGATCTGATAGCCCGAACCAACAGGCTCCACGTGGCATCAACCTCGAGAAGACGAAACGACGCCGAAGGAATGGGCCGGTTCGCCTGTTATCTCTAGGTCAAGAACGGACCAAACCGGACGCCCCTCTACGCCATTTCATGCAGTCCCGACCGATCAACACCATGCCTGTCCAGTGTACAGATCTGCACCAGATGACGTCGACACCGGTACAGGGCACAACCGACGAACACAGACATCCCACACCCGTACAGGCCACAGTATGCGTTCTTGGCACATAAAAATCCTCCATCGAGACGGAGAGTGAACAGAGAAGTAGTCGCCACATAACCGCCAAGAAGAGTCCTCTAAAGCCGAGGCCAACGCCTCCACACAACTCCATGGTACTCTTCAGCCAAAGTCGAGGTCTCCACATAACACATCATCCGACCTGGACCACTACGGCCTCAAGAGTGGGGGGCAAGTGATCGCACCACGTGCGTCAACCAGATCAAATCCTGGCTGCACATCACCAACTGCTTCCAGTCACTCTTAAGGGGAGGTTAGCTATAAAAGGGGGCACTCACTTCAAGGGAAAGATTCAGATTACCATTCTTGGCCATTAAGCACTAAGCTCTAAGCTCTCGTCTCTTGCCTAGTCCAACCACTCTCTAAGTACTCAACTAACTTGATCGTCGAAGTCTCCGCCCCTGGGATAACACCTGGGGCCTCTGACGTGTGCTCTTCTCTTATTTACAAATCGGACCAGTCGGCTTCAGACGCTAAGGAAATTACCTTGTTGCCCTCAGCCCCATATCTGGCAGCAACACAACCCACTTTGAATTAAGTTGAGAAAAAACTTAAGGCAAATTTTCTTAGCAGTTTGTAGTGGAAGCATAGGTAGCCCACCACTAGGGATGTGGGGAGCGAAGCCCCCGCAGTGGTTTGGACCTGATCCATATTCAGCTTATGGATCCAACCCAAACATGAAGAGTTATGTAGTTTGGGAGTTTTCTATTGAATACATTTTTTTGGCTTTGGAGAGAAGTATAGAGGTTTTGGGTGTTTTGGGGTTTAGGGTTTCTGTCAAAAAGGTTGTGCACAACTCTGAAATCTCCATTGTTGATTCTATAGTGGTTTTTTGCCCTCCTTCACCATGGACATAGGTTACAAGCCGAACCACATAAATCTGTGTGTGCTCTGTTGTTTGCTTCTCTTTATCTCTAATTTACTTCATTTTCTTATGTCATTTGAATTTGTGTTTCTGGGTTTTGCGCAACAGTTACCTTGTTCATAAGTCTATGAAATGTCTCATATCTAAGAAATGCCTCTTAGAGATAGTCTGGGACCAGGAAACATGGCATCAACAACCACCAGGAATGGTTCGGACCCGTATAGGTGGAGACTACACACACAAGAGTCCTACTCCTATATCTGGTAAAAAAAGCACTATCAAGATGCATTGATCAATGTTTTGGCATGCAAATCTCTATACTAACAACCATTACTTGAACATTTAAAACCACACCAAGCAACACAAAATCGATTAATGAAATCCACGAAAACAAGCCATGATAACAAACGGGTTCACATTTTTAGTTTTCCCTATAAGCATTGAGATTGACGTTGCATTATTCAAAATGGTAGATGACATAAGAATCCCCGTCACGACATTTCAATAAAAGCTAACAGATGAATCAAATAGGACCGAAGAAAGGACCAAACTTTGTTTCATAACATTGAATAAATATTCCTTTAAATAAAAAGGAATTAACTGAAAGGAAGAGGAAGAAGTGTTTTGTATACCTAAGTGATGCTTCGTCCTTTCAATCAAAGACTTCCGGTACCTTGCCAATACACTGGCCATATAAGCTTCCCTTTCTCCCGTTACCTCATCGTCTGCATCAGGCTCTGTAACAGCAAGGCACATTGTATGAACATTCCTTCCCAATACAATCTCTCTTTTTTGCTCCACATCGCTTTTCTTAGTTTCATCACTGACGATCTCTTCATTTACCGGAGACAATGGCTCCGAAATCACAGTAGTTGCATCAATTTCCTCGGGTAACGGCTCAACCTTTCCATTCAATTCACCTGGGAGCACATCAACTTCAACACTCCCAACCATGATTGCTCAGCCTAAAAAACAAACAGAAGTAACTTATTTGAGTCTCTAGATCTAATCCTTCACTGCCTCCTCAAGCTCTCAAAATGCAAATCTTCCACAATCAACGCTTCCAAGAACAGCTCCAATGCAGAAAAATGCCTCAATCTGAAACGAAAGACAGCTAAAATCAGTAGATTGAACAAGTATTACTACAAATCAAAGACGAAATTCGTTCATAACAAATCTTATAAAAAACTAGTTAAAAAAAGATCGAATTATCTCTAAGAAAACAGAGTGAATTAATCGAAAAAAAGAAAAGATCATGAAAAATTACAAATCAAAATTAAATATTTTTGTAAGAATTGTTGTAGAAAATCAATGTCTGAGAGATTACAGATCCAGGAAAAATGCGAAGGTTGAAACAAACGTAAACGAACTTCAAGAAGCCAGGGCTTGCAGAAGCGGTAAATTCGCTGAAACGAAGCTCGCTCCTCCCGCGTTCGATCCTGTGGAGGGAAGCAAAGAGGAGCGGAAACCTCGCCATAGCTTCCTTTTATAGGCGAACGTGTGTACACCTCCCAAGGGAAAAATCTGCTGTGACCGTGGTCGCATTCATAAATGACGATTACATACATTTTTTTTTTTCCGAACGATTACTTTTACTCTCGTGTTTGAAATATCAACTGATTGTGATGGCTTAAATTTTCTTTTTTGATAAAAATTAAAAAAAAAAAAAAGCTGATGTGGTCGCCATTTATTGGAGTTGCTTGCGACATCGGTCACAGCAGATTTCCTCTACCCAGCCCCCTCTCTGACCCTCTCTGTCTCTCTCCAGTCTCTCTCCATCTCCCTCTAACTTCGTAGTCCGGATTTGCTACTCACGTAGCGCGCCTCACATCATGTCCTGGCCGCACACCGAAAATATCTCTATTACTTGTATTTATTATAGAGAAAATCTATAATAAGGAAAAGATATGATATGAAAAAAGTTTTGACCAATCAAAATCAACCTATGAATTTTAATAAATAACACCTGGTTTTTATGAGGGCGGATTTGGCCCTCCAATGAAATTGTGACACTTGGCACATCATGCCAATTAAGTGCAATCTCTTGACAGCTAGACAGCTCGAGCTCGTCTCAGGTAGTTCGCCACTAGGCAACTCACCATCATGCAACTCGCCACAGGCAGTTCGCCACAGGCAGCTCGCCACAGGCAGCTCGCCACAAGTAGCTCGCCACAGGTAGTTCGCCACATGTAGTTCGCCATAAGCAGCTCGCCACAGGCAGCTCACCCTCTTATAGCCTGGCAACTTAGACAACTCGACACTTCACAAGCAGCTCGCCACCATGCAGCAATCACAGGTAGCTCGCCACCATGCAACACACAGGCGGCTCGCCACTAGGCATCTCACCATCTTGTAGCCTGGCACCTAAGAACAACTAGGTGACACCCGAGACCACTTTGGCAACAACTTGCCTTTGTTAAGTTGATGGTGTCTCACTAGGCGTAGCCTGGCACAGGCGTGGCCTGGCACAGGCGCGACTTGGTGACCTAGCCCTGGCGCGACCTGGCCCTAGCACGAGCTGGCAGCTTGGCCCTGGCGCGACCTGACCTTGGCACGAGCTGCCGGCCTGGCCTAGGCACCGACCTGGCGGTCTGACATAGGCGCCAACCTGACAACATTGAGGAACACACCTCCGTACCCCGCATTTTACGAGATTGTGACTTGTAACGGCTATATTAGCTCACCCACTCCCCGAGTCAGGTAGAAATGGGCAACCTTACCAGTTGGTGGCTTTATCCACACCTAACACGAAAGCAGGTCCCATCACAACGGGAATCCAGGAACTACTCCACCTAACCCACGAGGACTCAAGTATATAAAGACCACACCCCCTAGGGGCGAAGGGATGCGAAAAAAGGATGGGTAACCTCTGCTCTCTAGCTCTCTCATTCTCTAATATCATTCTCAGCTCTCCACTAAGTGCTAACTTAGGCATCGAAGTGAACTCGCCGGGTTAGCTACCCCGGGTCCTCTGACATTTGGTTCCTTGCAAGGCTCTAAAAGAGCAACAAAGCTGATCAAGGCAGCTCACCACCAGGCAGCTCATCAAGGTAGCTCACCTCCAAGCGGCTCATCAAGGTAGTTCACCACCAGGCAGTTCGCCACCAGGTAGCTCACCACCAGGCAGCTCGGCACCAGTCAGTTCGCCACTAGGTAGCTCGCCACCAGGGAGCTCCACTTCAGCCTCTAAGTCACAGGCCACTTGGAGCATACGAGATGACGAGGTACTCAGCAAAAAAAAATTGGCACAACACGAAAAAATGATACGTGACCAGAAACGGTTATGTCATTTGGCATCGTCTGTGGGAAAACGCTACAAAAAGCTAAGTTCTTATCTTATAAAAAAGCTAAGTCCTCTTCTCTCAGAAAGCTAAGTCCTCACCTTTTTAGAAATTGAAGCTCTCGCTTCATAGCTCTAAGGCGCCCACCTGACGGCCTGGCGCAGCCCACGCGCGGCTTGCCAGCCTGGCACATGCGCCGGCCTGGCATGACCTAGCATGGGCGCCAACCTGGCGGCCTGGCCCAGGCGAACTGATGGACTAATAAAAGACTTCCTCACCCCCAGAAGACCAAAGGCCAAGCTAACAATTCACCTCGGCACCTGCATAAGACCCATTCGCCTCTTCGGCATGGGCAAAGTCAAGGAGAATGGACTACAAGTCACTCCCAGAATCTAAGGACTAAAGTACCGAACTGGCAGAAGCCTTGGCGCCTCACGGGCAGCTCGCTTCCAAGCAGCTCCCAGAGCCTAAGAAACTGAATCAGCACCTACGAGCTCGTCGAATTATGGGCCAAAAGGAGAAATCTACTCCCTTCATCGAGTTACTTTCAGCTCGGGAGTGAGGGGCAAATGATGAGGGCGGATTTGGCCCTCCAATGACATTGTGACACCTGGCACATCATGCCAACCAAGTGCAGCCTCTTGGCAGCTAGACAGCTCGAGCTCGCCTCAGGCAGTTCACCACTAGGCAGCTTGTCATCATGCAACTCGCCATAGGCAGCTCGCCACAGGCAGCTCACCACAGGCAGTTCGCCACAGGTAGCTCGCCACAAGCAGCTCACCCTCTTATAGCCTGGCAACTTAGACAACTCGGCACTTCACAGGCAGCTCACCACTAGGCAGCTCGCCATCTTGTAGCCTGGCACCTGAGAACAACTAGGCCCTGGCGTGACCTGGCCCTGGCACGAGCTGCCAGCTTGGCCCTGGCACGAGCTGCCAACTTGGCCCTGGCACGAGCTACCAACCTGGCTCAGGCACCGACTTCACGGCCTGACACAGGCGCCAACCTAACAACATCAAGGAACACACCTCCGTACCCCGCATTTTACGGAATTGTGACTTGTAATGGCTATATTAGCTCACCCACTCCCCGAGTCAGGCGGAAATAGGCAACCTTACAAGTTGGTGGCTTTATCCCCACCTAACACGAAAGCAGGTCCCTTCACAGCGGGAATCCAGGAACTACTCCACCTAACCCACGAGGACTTCAGTATATAAAGACCTCACCCCCCAAGGGCCAAGGGATGCGAAAAAAGGATGGGTAACCTCTGCTTTCTAGCTCTCTCATTCTCTAATATCATTCTTAGCTCTCCACTAAGTGCTAACTTAGGCATCGGAGTGACCTCGCCGGGTTAGCCACCCCAGGTCCTCTGACATTTGGTTCCTTGCAGGCCTCTAAAAGAACAACAAAGCTCATCAAGGTAGCTCCCCACCAGGCAGCTCATCAAGGTAGCTCACCTCCAAGCAGCTCATCAAGGTTGTTCACCACCAGGCAGTTCGCCACCAGGTAGCTCACCACCAGGCAGTTCGCCACCAGGCAGCTCGGCACCAAGCAGTTCGCCACTAGGTAGCTCGCCACTAGGAAGCTCTCCACCAGAGAGCTCCACTTGAGCCTCTGAGTCACAAGCCACTTGGGAGTAGACGAGATGACGAGGTACTCAGCCAAAAAAAATTCACACATCACAAAAAAATGATACGTGACCAAAAACGGTTACGTATTTTTCTATCAGGTTTATGGTTCCAGTTTATTGGTCTCAATACAAGGTGGGATGTGGCTGTAAGATAGGTGTGAGGTGCGTTTTGAGAGCAACAGATTCCAATTAAATTCGACCTTCTTTTTTTAAATTCTAACTTGTGATATTTTCTATTTTTTATTTTGTGTGCATGTTGGGTGTGAATTTCAATAGGTAGGAATGGAAATGTGGTGGGGCATGCCGGGTTTTGCATAGGGATGGCAATTTCCCCTTTTCCCTTATCCCCATGGGGATCCGCCCCGAATGGGGCAAGGATGGGGATGATTTTTCCCCCGTGGGGACAGAGATGGAGAAATTTTCGTCCCCATTACCGGGGACAGGGAGAGCACTCCCTGCCCCATGGGATCCCCACTAATATATTTGTATATATGTACACATACATCTATATATTAATATTTTAAAAATATGTTTAATTCTTTTCTAATCGGATTGTAAATTTTAATTATTTTATTTTTATTTTTTAAAATAAAATAAAAAACAAAAATAAAATGATTAACATTATAAAAAATTATGAGGAATGGGAATCCCCGTGGGGACGAGGATAGGGATAACCTTGTCCTTGTCCCCACCCTGCCCCGTTGCCATTCCTAGTTTTGCATGTCCTGTCTCCGCCCCGAATTCCATCGGGGCTAGAAATTTCAACCCCATCCCCGTTTTCACAGGGAATGGGGATCCTCGAATTTGCATCATTCCACTCCATTCACTTTTAATTGCAATATAGAACTATATTATATTATGTAAATAATATAATATATATGAACCTATATTTATTATAGGCTCATATATATTAATTCCTTTTATCTTTTGAAACTTATATAGAACTATATTATATTATGTAAATAATATAATATATATGAACCTATATATATAGGCGCCTTCGGGGCTAGAGTCGAGGTGAAGTGGACAAATACCATCCCCACCCTAGAGTTTCAAGTTTCCTTGAAACCAGTCCCGAACCCCGATCAATGGTAAAAACACTTGCCCTAATCGGGGCCCATGGGAACAGGTTAAATTGCCATCCCTATAATATGAATAAAGTTCTTCTATCAACAAAATGCTCCCAACAATGTTCCAATATCCCATTACCTCTCATAGGGGAGTTTAGATTGTCACTGATGCAAATTTTGCATAGGAGTCTAGGAGATGTTTTCGATGTACCACCTGTAATGGATAGTTGGGACAAAATTAGAAGTGTTTCGTTGGGAGAAGATATTATTTTATTACTGTGGGAAAAAGTTGAAGATTTACTACAGTTTTAATACAACGACTGAATTTTAATTTTTCAAAATTTAGCCATAAAGATGTTAGACAGTTTTGTATGCCCTTAGCTTCAATCTAATTTGATGTACTTTTGTTATTTAGTGGAAATAATTAAAGTGCA